AATTTATTGCATATTAAAATAGTGTATTATCAGTTTTAAATGAATAAAAAACAAAAACGAAAATAGTTTTTTGAGGTTTACTAAGGAAAAACTATCACAAAAAATGTACCTAACGACATGATTTGACATCAAATTTATGAAATTTACAGTATGTAAACTATGTGCAGTGAAACTTTTTGATTTTTTTGTAAATAAATTTAAAAAAAAGTCCAAAAAATGAAAACCATATCGAAACACAGTGTTGTCTGTTTCTGTCTTTTGCMTACAAATGTTCTTTTGTATATTTTTACACCTGTTAGCGATACAAACCGGTGTTTAGTTTGGACTTCCAGGTTTTGTTTATTGAAAAACATTTTAATAATTTCACAGGGAGCTGTATTAGATTTAAATTCATTCTGTATTTCCACTCCGTATCATAATCACCGTTAGACAAGCCACACGTGACCTGATCTGTCGTGCACGCAGCTCGGGACCCCTCACAGCCACCCGTTGGTGGTAAAGTCCTGTTTCAGCTGCTGTGTCTCTGCCTCTGTGAGCCGCTGGAGAGGTGATCGACAAGCGCCGCCGTGGAAACCAAACCACTCCATCGCCTGCTTCAGGGCAGGAACTCCCAACTTCCTGGTCACCTAGTAACACAGGACCACAGTCAATTTCTATACACACCCTCAGTGGCACTGAGGTTATACAGCAGCAAGAGCAATGACTAAAACACGTTTGAAATTGATATTTGGCTGTGGAGAAACTTTGAAACTTTAGAATAGATCCTCAGTGATTGGTGATGCCTGTATTTTCATTGTACAGAGCAGAATGACGTTCAGGAAGACAGAAAACATGGGGGAACATTAAGCCGTGTGTTTAGGTGGTACTGTGGTGACTGATTTAGAGGGGTGATGTTTATCATTTTACATTTTATTTAGATTTATTAGCCATTACTGTCCTGCCGAGGGGCAATTTATTCTTTACATTTTACCCATCACACGTGAACACATGTGGAGCTGAAGAAATGTATAGTTTTTACAGAGTAGTACTGATGTTAKAAGCACAACATTATATTTTTAGGTTTTCCTTTTCATAATGTTTAATCTATAATGTGTTGATTGATAAAGATTAGTTACATGTCCGAAATATCTATAACAACACATATTTATCCGTTATGAGAACATGTAGGGGAGAATTGTGTATGAATGCCTGTGATTCAGCCGTAGGTCAGTAGGGGGCGAACACGGGCATTGAAGACTCTATAAAMGGATCAACTTCCTGGTTTTTCGGCAGTGTGTGGTTTCCTGTCAGATCCGAAWGGCATTAAATCCTCACTCCCAGAAGTCTGGTTTTGTATGGTTTTATCTCGTCTAACAATCATATTATTATTATTCTTACAGAGCAGTGGGCTGCCAATTGCCCGGGGAGCAGCTGGGGAGTTAAGGGCCTTGCTCAAGGGCAAAGGAATTTGCTCTGGTGTGCGTAAGCAAGGAGTAAAAGAGAACTAAAGCTAGTTAAAGTGAGGAACGAAGACAAGGCAGAATACAAAACGAAGAATGAGAACAAAAATACAAGCATGGCTGGCAGAGATGGGCCAGAGCCGATTTACATTGTTCATTACTCTAATGGCTGACAGGGAAAAACTGTTCTTGTGGCGGGAGGTTCTGTTCCGGATAGACCATAGTCTTTTGCCTGAGGGGAGGAGATGAAACAGGTTGTGAGAAGGATCAGCTGTGATTCTGCCTGCACGAGTTGTGAATGAAATCCAAGCCGAACTCGAGCAAGAAAAAGAGAAACATTAGCAAACCAAAGAAACTCTTAAACAAGAGCGTGAAGCTCATGCAGATGTTCGGAAAACAAATCGGGAGTATATTGAAGCATTAGAGCTCAACATTCCTGTGTTGGAGCAGATCATGTGTCATCAAGACCCATGTGGTGCTTTAGCACCAAGTGCAAATGCAATAATCGACGAGCATGCACTGGCAGGTGATAACCAGGYTACTAGGATCCCACTCCGAGGTGAGGCCCAAGCTACCAGTACCCCGGTTCCGTGTTAAGCACCACTTCCATTTCCACATCTACCTCTGCAAGTCAGTTACAGAGAACCAGAAGATCTGAGAGATCTACCTCTAACCCCACCCCCGCACCCATCATTCGAGGAAAAAAAGCCCAACTAACTCAGGTTAGACATGGAGCGTGRGAAGATGAGGGAAGATCAACGTATCATTGTCCTCCCTCTGATCGTGAACTCAATAAAATGGCGAGGACCATCACACGTTTCAAACCAGGACCAACGGGCTCATATGAGACCAGAGCCTACCTAAAGGACATTGATTTTTACCTGAGCAGCTACCCAAACGCTTCTATAGAGAACAAACGTTACCTAATCAGACAGCAGAAAGGTAAGCAGTTTTATTGATCGCCAACCAGAGGAAGTAAAGAGAAACTACAGACTTCTTTGTGATGTCTTAGAAAGTGAGTACACTCCCAACACGGGACCCCCTGGCTACACTGCGCCAGCCAATGGTTTTACGATACACCCCATATTTGAGGAGTGGGCTCCTATCAAAGAGGGGGTGTCTGGCAGAAGCGATTTCTCTAAGACTGCAAGGGAAGCTCAGCTTCCCCTAAAATGTAAAAAAAAAAAAAGGTAAAATATAAACTGTTGTGTGTTCATGTCATTGACTAAATATGTGCTGTAACACGCTCAACTTGTTCAGAATCAGCTTCTTATCACTGGTAACGACACAGCTTTCCTCTCCCTCAGTCCTGCAGCTTCACAGAGCTTTAAAC